ACCATAACATTTTCAATCTTGTATATCACATAGAACACTTACCTTACCACCCTCTCCATCACCCTACTCTGCCATAAAAGTCCAAAGTCATAGTATTACAAGCTTTCAATCCAATACCATCACAACTCTTCCATCTCATGCTACTTTTGCCTTGGCCGTTTGCGTGAGGCTGTAGCTTCAAAGACACTTTCTTCTCCATCTTCCACATCCTCCCACAAGTTCTCCAAATCCCATCTCCCAAATGACAACCCATTATCCGCTGCTCTGTATGCATCTGATGCTGCCAAGACTTCTGTTTCTTCAATAACATTGTTATTGTCCTCTTCTTCAATATCATATGTGCAGTTTAACTGCTCATCATCACTTCCCTCATCATCAACATGTTCCTGTGACAATTCTTCCAATGCATTCTCCATTTCTGCTTCACTTGGTCCCCATCCATGCAACATACGGTATGCACCTGGTATGAGAGACACCTCTTCCCTCCATTGTGCACATAAACTCAGATGTTGCACCTTTCTGATGAGCAACTGGTGTTTGATATCCTCATCCTCTACAACAATACAACACCTATTAGATTCCACCAAAAAAGCAATATCCAGAAAACTTACCACATATATCAATGGCTGCACTTATTGCTTGCCACTCCTCCTTAGACCACTCTTGTAAAGAAGTCCGCTCTCTCTTGATTCTAGCAATCTCCTCCATGCATCTTTTCACAGTAAGCATTGCTTTGATTCCTTCACGGACTTTCTCATCTCCAAGCCAACCTGGGATCACCTCACTTTCATGCTCATCCAAGCCTATATCCTGCCAGATGTCATCATCCACATCCAAAGAGAACAGAGTGTCCCGATTAATTGGGACTGGAGCTATTGCTTTCCGAGGAGCTTTCTTTTCTTCTATCTGCTTTGTCATATCATAGCACATGTCATTGTATTTTTTTGCCAATCTAGCAATTGTTGGTTGCTGCCGATTGACTTGTTTCTGCACATGTGAATGCAATTTCGTCTCTATCAAAGTATATATTAGCCAGCCACCATAATTTTATCCTAAATAAAAGCTTACCATTGGAAGTTGTATTCCGGTATGCTCTTTCTAATCTCTCCAACTCAAACTTTCGATTGCGCAATCGATCTCTAAGCCTTTGCTTGAGGGCTCTGGCATTGAGTTTTAACTGAAGAAATTTATTGCCCATCAGATCCTTCAAATTCTCTTGATCCCTCACACCAAGCTTTTTCTTCTTTGTTTTAATGGTATCCTCTATAGCCTTTTGCTTCTTCACTACGGCCAGACGTGCTGCCAGGACATCCTCCACCAACATATCATCTCCATAGTCACCAGAAATTAGCTTTTGATCAAGCTCTCCCAACTCACCTGCAAATGCATTCCTTGCAGTATACAAAGCCATTATCTCTTTGACAGCATTGTTCCCAATATTCTTTGACTGTCTTGCCAAGGGCTTAGTCTGTGCCACAACCTGGTCTTTCCATTCTTTCTCAAGAAGAGGCATTTCTAGACCAAGTTCTTGGAGAATTTCCTCAGCCCCAATCTTCTTTTCTAGGCAATGCAGCCATTTACGTTGAAGCCATTTTCCCATCACCTTAAATGACTTTTTCTCTAGGTGTTTCACCTGAGTATCAATTGTGAACAGACGATGGTAGAACTATTTTAGACAATCATTAATTTTTTTTTCAAGGATGACACATGATGACTTACCCCTGCCACACGCATTGATGGAATTAGTAACTTTATGGAACTCCAGAAGCGTTCACAGCCCTCTCCATCAGAGAGTCCAAAACCTTCACATTTACGGGGGTGGTAGATTAGTTGGCATGGCCACTGGTGACCATATGCATGAAACACTGCCAGTGCAAAAATAATGCGTGCCATAAATTCCTCCAGAAAACCCCATATCTTGCAACTTCTCTCCAACTGACAACCAATATCATAGAGTATCCCCACAGTCATTGACAAAGGCAAATTCAAAAAAAGCTCCTTGATCAATGCTAAAG